CCCCGCTCTGACCAGCGATCTCGAGGGGCTCCGTTTGCAGGTTAGGGCACCAAAGGCCGTTCCCTTCTTTATTAAAACTGGCGAGTTTCATCCAAAATGGCTGCCGCTGGCCGAACAGGCTCCGTTTGAGCGCACAAAGTTGTTTTGGAGCGCTTTGAAGTCTCACGGTCTTTCCATGCCTTAGCGCACAACCGAGGCTCTAACGCAGCCCGTTTTCTGACAGTGCGGTCATGGCAATCATCGGAGAGCCCGTCGGCATTCATCCCCTTACCAAGGAGGCAGAGTTTGCTCCTGGTCTGAAGCCTTTGCGGATTATGCTGAGGTGTTGGAGTAGTGCAGGCCCTGAGGGGCCGTTTGGAGACGGAGTAAGTGAAGTAAGAGAGGTTTGTTTTTAAATAGAGGGAAATATACAAGAGTAAGAGGAAGAAGAATAAGATTTAAGCTGAAGCGCAAGATGGGTATTAAGCAAGAGCGAACACCTAGCTGCTCTCCCTACTGAGGCAGGAAAAGAACTGAGCCAGGGGTGACTCCCACCAAAGGAAACAGGAAGTTGATCTTAGTCCTGCCTCCCTGATGATGGATGGGAATCACCCAAAAGATGGCCTCCACCTCAGAGGGAGAAGAACCCTTCAGGGTGAGTATCCAATGGAAGTATCCAATTGAAGCAAAAACCGGCAACAGAAAAGTAAAGATCAGAGAAAATGATGGAGACAAATCTAAAGGAAAGGATAGTTTGGTTGGGAAAAACAGTTGAGAAGGCTGAGCGTACTCTAGTACTGCTATTTCCTACAGAGGAACAGAACTGAGGGGAGAGCTATTCCAAAGGCACCAGCAGAAAGGAGAAAAAAGTGCTTCGCACCTCCCTATTGGAACAATGGAGTAACCCATAGAGATGTCCTCCACCTCAGAGGGAGAAGTGTCTTCTGCATCATAAGTACCATAGCTGAAGGGGGGAGGGGATCTGTCAGTGTGTGTGTGTGTGTATGTATGTATATATATATATGTATACACACACTAGTAAGCAAAGCCCATTGTGGCGGTAGGCAATGAGCCCTAGATAGGAAGGAAGGGCGGGTAGAAGGGAGAAGAGGAGGTAGAGAGAGAGAGGGAAAGGGGGGGG